ATGAGTGGCCTTTCAGCCTAGATGAACAGAGAGGCCTCCAACTTTATTGTTATTAACCTGCCATTCTGCCAGCAGAAAGAGTCATGTAAATTGTTTTGTTTAAATAAGCATTTTCTTATGGATCCAGCCAAGAAAATGAATCTTCATGTCACAAATAAAAAGAAAAGTACTGTGTGTGAAGAAGGTAATCAGATTGCTTACATACATTTTCTGAGTAGGTCCCTAAGGAATGTGAAGCTTTATTAACTGCATCCAAAGTCAATTGAAAAATGCCTTTTGCTGTATGCTGTTCTCCTGTAATAATGGCCCAGTAACACAGACAGAGTCAGAATGAGTGAGATTACTAGAGGAAAGTTCCAGGGAGGCTTTTACAGACCCTACACCTAGAGGTGGTTCATGACAGCATGTTCTTTTCTCTGTTTGCCTTTTCTGTAGGCTGTGCGCTCTTGCTGAACACCAGCGAGGCACCTGCAGCAGAAACAACCGTCGTGACCAGTGCTGTGTTTCCAGCTCCAATTAGAAACTCCCCCTGTGAGGCAAGTCCTGAATTCTCCTCTTTCTCCTGTAACACTTTCCGAACTCACAAGTGACCCATCTCAGTTTTCAAACAAAGGCACTGACATGCTTGGTGGCTCAGACTGGCATGTGAGAATAGGCGCCCATTTTGGGGACCCATGTACAGGCACAAGATCCAGGTGCCCTGTTACAGTGCACAGCCGCAACAGAATCTGTGCATGTAGAATGAAGACTGTCTGGTCTATACTGTAAGTGTAAGCTAGTGAGATGAGTTTTGTATTAATGATCATCATAACTGGACATCTATGTTAATGCATTGGTCAGCCAGAACTCTGTAAATATAGTGACAAAGGGCCATACCATGGCTTTGGCAGCCAAAATAGCAAAGGGAGAGAGGAAAGAGAGAGAATTGTCTTATATCAGTAGTAGCAAGCAACAGCATTCCCTCTACAGGCAATAGCAAAGATACACATGCCTTAGAAGTATGCATACTTACTAAACTTGTAGATGACATAAAGTATTGGCTTGTGGTAACAGGCACTCTAGAGGGTAGGATTAGAAATTCAAAATTACTTTGCTAAACTGGAATAAATGGGCTGAACTTAATTGAATGAAATTCTGTGAGGACAAATGCAAAAGTTATATTCATAGGATAGAATAGTCAAATGCACAGATATAAATTAGGGAATAACTGGTTAGGCTTCTCTTCCATAGAAAAGGACCTGGGGGTTATAATGGACCACAAGCTGAATATGAATCAACAGTGTACTCTTGTTGTTGTATGGCCAAGAGCATACTGGACTGTAGTAACAGACGATGTCTATACACATGGTCCAGGATGGGGCGAAAGGGGCGCTTTAATTAGATCAGCTCTTGGAGCCACTCTAGTTAAAGCGCCTGAAGCATCACGTGTATTCAGTATCCTACACTTCAAAATGGTGGTGGGGGTGCTTGAAGTAAAGCTTGTTCGATGAATTTTAGTTCAAGTGCCCCCACTGCCATTTTGAAGCACAGGGATGCTGAATGCATGTGACACAGACAATGTTAATTAACATGCTCGAGCAAATGAGTCTGCTCCACATGTCGGAGCAGACATCTGGCACATGTATAGGTGCCCATAAGTGTCACTTGCAAGTCAAGGGAAGTGATTATTCTGCTGTTCAGCCCTGGTGAGGCCTCATGTGATTCTTCCATTCTATTGAACACTGGTGGGGTTTCACTTGGGGCATTGTGTCCAATCTTATGGATTTAATTGGTGTTGATGAGTAAATCATTTGTGGTCTAGCACCGGCAGTTCACAAAATAACATGCATTTTTTAATGTGTGTCCAATGCCCTGGAACATTTCATAGATTTCATAGACATTAGGGCTGGAAGGGACCTCGCAGGATAATCAGGTCCAGCCCCTGCCCAAGGGGCAGGAGTCTGCTATGGTCAAATGATCCCAGCAAGATAAGCATCCAAGTGTGTTTTAAAGGTGTCCAGAGTAGGTGCTTGCACTGCTTCTCAGGGGAGTCTATTCCAGACTCTGGGGACTCGGACGGTAAAGAAGTTTTTTCTTATGTCCAGCATAAAATGGTCTTCCTGGAGTTTGTGACCGTTAAACCTTGTCTTCTCTTGGGGTGCCCTGGTGAACAGATGTTCTCCCGGTTCCTGGTGCACCCCTCTAATATACTTATAGGCCACCACCAAGTCCCCCTGAGCCTTTGCTTTTCCAGGCTAAAGAGTCCTGTGTCTCTCAGTGTTTCCTCATAAGATTGTTCTTTTGTCCTCTGATTGTGCATGTGGCTGTCCTCTGGACTCTCTCAAGCTTGTCCACATCCTTCCTAAAGTGAAGAGCCCAGAACTGGATGCAGTTCTCCATCTGCAGCCTCACCAGGGCCAAGTACAGTGGGAAGATGACTTCCTGGGTGTTGCTTGAGATGCACTGATAGATGCAAACCAGGGTTTTGTTTGCTTTGCTGGCTGTGGTATCGCATTGGAGGCTCATGTTCACCTTGTGGTCAGTCAAAACCGCCAAGTCCCTTTCGGTTGTGGTGCTAGCAAGTGTAGCACTAACAAACCTATAAGTATAATGTGGATTTTTTTTCCTTGAGGTGGCGCACCTTGCATTTCTCAGTGTTGAATGACATCAGGTTTTGATCCACCCACCTTGCAAGCCTGTCCAGGACGGCCTGAATTGCCAACCTATCTTCTAGCATGACCGCATTTCCCCATAGTTTGGTATCATCAGCGAATTTAGCCAGTCCACTTCTGATCCCTGTATCCAGATCATTTATAAATATGTTAAAAAGTACTGGTCCAAGTGTGGAGCCCTGGGAGATGCCACTGGTCACCATGTACCACATTGACATGGTTCCATCAGCTATCACTCTCTGGGTCCAACCATGGAGCCAGTTCCCAAGCCATCGGACAGTGAGGTTGTCAAGGCCACAGTTCTCCAGTTTAATCATGAAGACTTCATGGGAGACCAAGTCAAAGGCTTTTTTGAAGTCCAAGTAGATGATGTCAGCCTCTTCTCCTTTTCCAGGCAATGCATCACCTGATCATAGATGGAAATGAGGTTAGTCAGGCAAGACCTACCCACAACAAAGCTGCGTTGGTTATCCTTCAGGATGTTGCATTCCATTAGCCTGTTGATAATGGTTTCTTTGATGATTTTTTCCAATGTCTTTCCAGGGATTGAGGTCAAACTGATTGGCCTCTAGTTCCCTGGATCTTCCTTACTCCCTTTCTTGAAGATGGGTACCACACTTGCCCTCTTCCAATCATCAGGAACCTCACCCGAGCACCACAAGTTCTCAAATATCCTCACCAATGGCCATGCTGTGATGTTTGCCAGTTCTTTTAGCACTCTTGGGTGTGTTCCATCTGGGCCAGCTGATTTATGGGTGTCTAGCCTCTCAAGGTGTCCCCTCACAAGATCTTCACCAGTGATGGGTGTGAGTTCACCCATGCTCATGAACCCATGCGCCCAGCCTTTTTGCTGCCTTTCCTACGTGCTGGGATGGACTGCCCTTGTGCTTCAAAGATAATGTTCTTAAGGAGTGACCACTCATCATGGACTCCCCTCACTGTTAGAGCCTGGTTTCTACGGCCTCAACAACCAGCTTCCTGAGCTTATGAAAGTCAGCTTTCCTAAAATCAAGGATTTCTGCATTGCTGACTGATTTGCCAGCGTTGTGATGGGTAGAGAAAGTGATCAACTCATGATCACTGTTTCCCAGCTTCCCTTTGACTCTCAGGTCACTCACCAGATCATCCCCTTTGGCCAGTACCAGATCCAGGAGCGCCTTACCTTTTGTTGGCCTGTAGACTTCTTGAGACAAGTAGAGTTCATCAATGCAGGTGAGAAAGCTACATGACAAATCAGATTTGGCAGAGTTTGGCATACTGTTCTTGGTTTGTTTGGGGTGTTTTTTTTAATTATTCTAAATTTTCATCAAATGCTAATGATTTGGGGCAGCTCATTTCTCAGAACTTCAGACCTAGAAATCACAAGTGCAATTGCCACAGCTGCATCAGGGACTAGACAACATCAGCTCCTGTCAACATTTTCCTGGGTACAGATTGGGAACTTATGAAAAATCAGCCGCCTGTCAAATATGGCAAACTGGGCACCCAAAATCACACCTCATTTTTTAATATGCAGATCATTCTTTTCTTGTTGTGCACTTAGCATTGCAAAATGAAAACTATCCCTAATCAAGTGATCACAGGGAAAGAAAAATCATGGAACATGCTGAGAGGCCCCAGAAGAAGGCATAACATAAAAGGGAAGGGATGGTTCTTTTAAGGTTTGATCTACTTCCCCTCTGCTAAGCATCTCATTTCATGCAGGAAAATATGTGCTATTTTGTTCTCTTGCTGCATTCACACACTCCTCCTTTAGGAAACTCCTTCTAACTTGCTTTCCCTTCTACAACAAAGACACTCAGGACCTGAATATTTTAAGACCTCATTGTGCCATGGACCAGAAAGGGTGTGTGTTCTCCATAATCTGTCTGCCACAGGAAGCTGGCTGAAACAGCTCCCAATATGCGTTTTTTTCCTTATGCATGCGACAGTGCAAATAATTAAACTTGCCATCAGGGGGAAGCTGCCATCTATTTCATCTGCTCACATGCCATCCCACCTCCGTCACTCCCCTTGGCACTTAAAAGGCATCCAGACACATCCAGCATTGCAGCTGTTGGTAATAAAGAGTGAAGGAGTTTGGCAAGGGTTTTTGTCTCTTGCCTTTTTATATAGTATAAAAGCCTCTGTTCTCAATAGGGCCCTCGTGGCTTCAAACTCCATCTTACTGGAACAATCTGTCTGTGATCGGAATAATTTAATCCTACTTCTCAGCTCAACATACAGAGTGAATGAGGCTTTTCTCCCATTTATTCTTCCAGTAGGTGCAAACGAACTTCCTCATAATGGGGTTATGAGTTGGAAAGTGGTTGTGAAAATAACATCATGCTGCTCTGTATTTAATTCCCTCTCAATCACTTCTCAATTGAACTGGCTTAAGTTCAAGCGTTAAAAGATTGCCTTTCTACCTGTCAGTCCTGACAGCTCCACCTGGCATGTCACAGCAGGACTGGACCTGAATTTCACTGTCACTTTTATTCATAATGCAAGAGGCAAGATTGGTACCAGCAAATGCCCACTTTCAGACCAGCTGATCCCACATATGCCTACAGATTCCTCACTGCTCTCCCACTGCTTTGTCGGCCACGCAGAGTGGATAGCGCTGCAAGCTCATTTCAGTAAGATAAGTAGACGTGACCCTGCACATATGAGGGGTGATCAAAACGTTCTAAGACTTAGCCTTTATTTTAAAGAATAGTGTACAAACAACATTTGTATGAGCTGTCCCCTTCAAAGTAATCTCCCCCAGATGATATGCACTTGTCCCAACGTTCCTACCACTTCCGGAAGCAATGCTGGAAGTTTTCAACTGTGAGTTTTTTGAGTTCCGTTTTCACGTTCTTATGGATGGTTGGAATGTCATCAAATCTCCTTCCTTTCAGCTT